ACACTTCTATTTTTAATAGGAGGTACTCAAGGGTGAGTAACTCTTCAAAATAAACGAACTAAAACAAAATGCTTTTGTGAAAACAACTAACTAAATTCATGATTAAAAAACCGAACTAATAAAATTTTATAAATGTAAATCATACCTTGCAGTATATAGATCAACACACAACAACAAAGACGAACATCCAAAGACAAAATGATCCCATCACACTCGAACAAGAATGGCTAACCACAACCGATATGCCGTCCACAATCACAACTCAAAGGATTTAGAGTACGACTTGACTTCGCAGAAAGGACTTCATTGAACTAGACCAATGACCACCTCGATGTTCAAGTATAAGTACAGATCCGAGTTACGAGGCATCCCTTCCACACACGATCTCCACGCCATTCCCAGACGAGGTTGAACACAAAACAAGTTCTCTACATAATACAGAAAAACCCGTCATAGCAAACCATTTTGAAATCAGATTGATTTCATTGGGGAACACAGTCGTTGTCACAAGACGACACAACGGTTGATGTCCCTAACTCCAGCGTCCTGGAACTTTTTTAACAAGAGAAACCGGACAAGAATATGATGTTCGCCAAATACCAACGTTCATCATCCATCCTTTGAATTGCAGAAAGATAATTCTAAAAACTCTGTAAAACCGGATGGGTGGAACCTGATCCAAACTATATTTTATGATTGGATAAATTGGATATTTTACCACTGTAAAGTAGTTAATATTAACCAATCATAATCCATCTAACTAACAACCCACTTATTTGTAAGTGCTGAAATTACTTGTAATTTCAGCACCAGAGAGATTTGAATTTAACTTAAAAATTAGTTGTCTCTCCAAGAGAACTTCAGCAGCCGCAACAAACCAGTATACCCTAGATCTATTGAGCCTAGCAGAGACTAGTTAAACACCCTGAGACTAGAAAGTATAAGAGTAAGATTAGGATCGGTATTAGACTAAGAAGTTGCACGAATCTATCCGGCCGAAAATAAGATAGCGTGACGAGCAGACGGTGTACCCTATCCGAAATTATTCTATGAGTTAACCACATCGGTTCTAACTCACTTTCGCCAGCACCTAAATAAGGGCTGAACATTAATTGAAAATCAAAAACCAATTGTCGATTATAAAATGGGTAAGTTCTGAATTTCCTAAAATAAATTTCGTATTCATTTTGTGCACAAAAATGAAAATATGATTGTTGCTCATTTTTTTTCTACAGTTTTCCGCAATAAAACATTTTCAATCAAGAATATAAGAAGGTTTGACCCACGGTTCTGCAGTGATATTATGCAGATTTAATCTTTTTTTCACGTTTAACTTTCAATTGACCTTGAAAGATCTTGAGAATGGGTTTATTCTTCCTTAATTTATATCTGTTTTGCAATTTTATATCTTTCTTTGGAAAAGAAAAAAGTTATTTATTTGGCGAACGATTAGTATCGTGGTCCCTCTTTTTCAAGTGTGGTTTTCAAAAGATCAGATAACACTTTTTTATATCTTCAATATCACTTGAAGTTTTAGCCCAATTAAGCAAATATAATCGCTTGACAAGGAATTTGTTTCTCATGACATTACGAGAAGGTTTTCGTTTCAATGCATCTAATTTATACGCTAAAATGAAGAGTGGGCTGAAAGTACAATTTGACATTTTAGTATCGAATAAACAACAACAATCACATCAACCAAAAAGAAGTTACAAGTCGCACTAATGATAAATACTCTATATAAAATTTTGATTCGAGTCAGGGGCGGATTTAGGGGGGAAGGGGGCGGGGGGGGGGCGGACGCCCCCCCCTCAGGGATTCGACCCCCTGCCGACCCAAAGGGTCCCCCCTTTGATACTTTTTCAGAAATCCATTTTTGGCGGACCGACCCTAAAATTTTTCTAAAGGCGCCTTCGGCGCCAATATATACTAACTTTGAGGGGAAGCGCCCGCCAAAAAAAACGCAATTTTTTTGTCAAAATCTTTCAAAAAGTGCCCAAAAACGGCTTTTTTGACTGTTTTTTCAAAAATTTGCCTGCGGCGCAGAAAATTTTGCCAAAATAGGGGCAAAACAGTGCTTTGGGAGAGCTCGAAAAATCAATTTGTTCGACCTAAAAAAAAAAAAAAGGTCGTCAAAATTTTGGAAAATTTTTCGAAAATCCGCCCCCCCCTCGAGAAAATCCTAGATCCGCCCCTGATTCGAGTATAAACTAGCAGTTATCTTAAGTGTTCATAAAATTTCCATGAACGTTATTCGAAAAAAAATAAAGATCTGAAAAGATAATTTAAATTTTGATTTGGAAGATCGAATACAGCCAAAAAAATGAAAATAAGATACGAATCCTGGTAATAACGCCGATTCTAATAGTTGATGCGAGCATAAACTACAAAATAAGCAGATGCTTGATTTTTCAAATATAAGCAGATCAGAGATGCATTGAAAGAGTAGTGAAAAAATGGAACAAGGACAGCCGGTTAGTGCGCAAGTAGCACAGAATGTTCCGACCATAGTCTTAAGAAATACAAAAAGTTTTTTCAAGTTAGTGTCGTTTTTTGTTTCAGCGTGGTGTCATAAAAGGAGCTCAAAATCAAAGTTTATAAAAAAAATGTCTAGAAAAACAAAAATTTAAAAAATTTAAAAATTTTACTATTTTTCATATTTGCAGTTTTTTTCTTCTAAATTTTTCAAGTTTTTGATTCTAAAAATGCGATAAAACACTCAACAAACTATTTTTATAAGTAAGACTAAGTTTTTACGTTTTAAATTTAACTAAAGCTAATGTAAGCTTTTAAGCCATTAAATTATGTTATCGTAAGCCTGCTCGCTGACTTTATTTGCTCGAATTAAGACGAAAAACGAAAAAAAAACTTTAAACCGGTTTTACTTGACTCTGGGAAAAAATTTTCTGAAATTTTCAAAAGTTCGAGTAACGACTGTAAGGGCTTTAATGTGTTATATCACTCAAATTCTCTCCGATGATTATTTGTGGTAGCTGATGTTGCTTGAAAAAAAACTAAAACACCCGAATATAAAGTTACTCAGCATTTTTTCTAAACCATCGGAACAATCACAAAAACAAAACGGAATGAGCACACAAGTTTCACTGTTCTACTATCACTTGTTTTCTGCTAATATTGACTTCGGGTTTTGTTAAAGTTTTTTTAGCGAATAAGAATGTCAAATGATTCTAATTGTTTAAACAAATTTCCCTTTTTCGGTCCCTCCAACATGAAAATTTGTTCCCGTCAACCACACTCTTTTCTTCTCCTAGCGAGATATGATGAAGATGATCTTCAGAAGGCTGCGTGCTTGAATTGTACAGAAGGCTGCGTGTTCACGACTGAGCCAAAAGATGTTTTTTTCCCCGCTTACATAACAAGTATCTCTGACGTGCAAGTAAAATCATGATTATGGTCAAATATTCATTATTAATACGCTCAATTATTTTAAAGAAAAAGTTTGAAAAATGGCTGTCAGTGACTTCTATGTTCATTCGTTTTTTTCATTAGAAGTTTGAATTAATTACATGTTTTTATATCGAAAAGACTACTTTTTCAATGCTGCTTTTGCCCCCTCATCTAAAAAAAAAAACAATTATAAAGTTGTGATATGTCACTGAAAATGTTGGGATTAATGAGTTTGAAATCGACTGTTTTTTCGATAATCTCTTTGAATCAAAATGATTTGGTTTATTTTGATCAAAATGATTGGTGCCAACCAAATAAAGCCCAAAGATACAGATAGACTTCGCGTTTATTTTTAGAATTAAATTTTTTTCAATTGAGATTTGGTACAGCAGGCAAAAAAATGAGTGCAAAAAACAAAAGCGAAGACAATTTTCTAACTTAGAGACAGAAGTTCCCTATCAAATTTTTTAGATGAAATTTTTTGTACCATTATTGCCTGTTTGAGTGTTTCAATATCTAAATAATTGAATCACTATGTTTTCTGGATCACATTGACATATACTCTGCCCAATAATTATTAAGAAGGAAGGATCCTGATTTTATATCCACTTAACCTTTTCACCTTAATATTTTTTTCAGCGTAATGTAAATGTAATTGAGAGTTGAAAAGTGGGCTCAGTTATTTTGGCCGAGCCAATTTAGGCTAGATGGACGAAGAATGGGTTAAATAAAGCCACATGAAGTTTGTTTCAGCTTGTAGCATATAATCTGAATCTTTTGGTTGCCAGTCAATATGCAGAATGGTCTAAGAGCAGAATGGTTCCAAGAGAAGAAAAACAGAAACACAATAAAATTTACAGGCTAATCGGTAAATGAGGTGTAAGAATTGTCAATATTACCAAAGAATCGAATATTTTAAGCACAATTTGAGTAATTTAGTCCAGATTTTTAAAAAAAATCAATCAAAAAACTTAATGAAATTATTTAATTCACGCATAATTTATTCCTTTTTAGATATTTTTGACGATGCTAATAATTGTTTTATCAATTAGCCTGTATAAACCAATGAAAGTCAATATTTTTCTGTTTTTCTGCTCTTGGACCATTCTGCTTATTGCTCAGCCTCCGAATATTTTGATTGGATCAAAGGTTTTACTAATCGTGGAAGGATTGTTAATTGGCAATCGAGAGAATCAAAATCCCAGGTTGAAATGTCGATGCCTCACGTTTGTTTCATAATACGCTTTTTTTTTTCATCTTTCAAAAATTTTAATTGCTTTTTCTGTAAATTACGTAATTAGTTCACTCTTGCTTTGTTAAACCCCCAATTGGTCACAATTGAAGCCTTTCTTTCTTTCTTTCTTTCTTTCTTTCTTTCTTTCTTTCTTTCTTTCTTTCTTTCTTTTTCTCTTTCTTTCTTTCTTTCTTTCTTTCTTTCTTTCTTTCTTTCAATATTTGAAAAGATCTCTCTGTTCGGAACTTTTGCTGGTTGTTTTATGAGCAACGTGAAACGAAACCACAGATGGGACCGTTGTTAGCACGGGTTTGGCACAGTTCATAAGTTTAGTTAAATTTTGCGTTTTTTGTTTCAGATTCCACATTCAGCGTTCTGACGTGGGCCTTGACCTTGCTTCCAACATGAGCTCATCTGATTTGCCCTACCAAGACAGTGACGGAACTATTCCAGGCCAGTGATTCAAATACTTCTTTTTTCTCCATCTTCTCGCAAGAAACTTGAAAAAATCATGTCAGAAAAGAAAAGTAGCAATATTTAAATCTTCAGATCAATTGGCAAAATAATACCCAAATTTTATTCAAGTAGCTATATTAATTTAAAAATTAAAAAAAAAAACGATAGTTATTTGGAAAATGAAGTTTTGCTGTTTTGTTCTAGGTACTGAGTATGTGTACATAGTGTATTCAGACTACATGGGATGGCTGAGTGCGGCGGCTACGTGTGTGGGCTGTCTGCACCCCAGACCCCCGGTCAATCTGAGAGGAACCCCTGAGAACCATACTGAGATATACCTCAGCTGGGATGACCCTGTGTTGGAAAGTGCCGTGGATGGTTAGTCTTAACAAATTGTCCATTAGCGTTGAAAGAGTGAAATCTTTCATACGCGAATGGCCGAATGCGCGAAAATTACGTCAGCCAATAAGAATTATTCATTAGTTCGAAGGGGATCTAGTTAACAATCTTCCCTCTTTCAAGAAAAAGGGAGATTGTCTGGTAGGTTAAATCAGCTTATCAAGAGCCAAGATTCAACGAACGTAGTTCAGACTCTTATATAGGTCGTGATGATTTTTTCATTTTTTTTTCGCGGTTTGCCTTTTTTGATTTTTTTCTAGTTCAGTTCAGTTCCTTTACTAAAAGCAAGGCTATTTCCACTATCGAACAGCAAAAATGTAAAGGTGGCGTAAAACATAATCGACTTCTAGTTTCGAAAATGGAATCGAATTATCAGATTTTCCAGCGAAATATAAATTTTGTCTATTGATCCAGTTTTCACACTGGCTAGCTTGCGAGCATTAGTGTATTAGTACAAACTTTCTTTTTTCTAATCTAACGCGCAAATAAAAGTGTTCATTGAAAGTGTTCACTTATATGGAAATTTCACTATAGCATTGGAAATTGTATCGCATCTGTTCTCTGCTTTGTTTGTGGCTAGTTTTTGTCATTAATTAAGCGTCCGTGACTGAGCGGTTAGTTCGTGAGAATCATAATCTCTTGGTCGCAATAGATTTTAGGTTCGATTTTGAGACGAGCCGAATTTTAATTAACTCGAAGCTTATTTCTACTTTTTCCTTACGGATTTTATAACGCTGCTTTTTTCTCAAATTGGGTTTATTTTATCAAAAAAATGTCATTGAAAATTTTTTTCTAGAAATGCAAAGTTGAGACTTTTTCAAAAAACAAGCCAGTTTTTTTTTGTTTATTAGCGTTCATTGACTCTTTTCCACCTGCCTGTTGGCTCTGTTTGTTCATTTATAGGAGTGGAAATTCTTAAGTAGATACCATAGTAGGAGACATTGTTAAGTACATACGTTCTAAGGAAATCAACGATAAAATCATTCATTTTTGGACAGTTTTAATGGCGTTTATTGCTTGAGAATTTTCGCGAAGTCGGTCTTTTGCGCATGAGAATAGCCCCCGTGAAGAACATTCTAGTTCTAGTCAGTAGAATCGATTGACGGAAGAGGAAAGTTCCATTAGCCAATCAAAAAGAGTCACTACTCATTAGTCTGAGAATGAAAAAAATTCTTTCAGCTCAAAAGTTTTTGGATGGTTTTTGGAAACATTTCTGCCATGCGGTCTTTATGCCGTAGCCTCTGGCTGAGCGACAAAAGCCCCCGAGTCAAAAGCCCCCTGCGACAAAAGCCCCCCGTCAAAAGCCCCCGAGTCAAAAGCCCCCGGCGCATAAGTTACATGTACATGAACACCTACATGCAAAAGCACGGGGGGCTTTTGACTCGGGGGCTTTTGACGGGGGGCATTTGTCGCGTGGGCTTTTGACTCGGGGGCTTTTGACGCTCAGCGGTAGCCTCTGACTGATATCATCAAAAATGGCGTTCTTGTCTTTTTATCTAGTTTTTTTTTGCCAAAATAACTACTTTGCATGCAAAACCTACTTTGCTTTTTGCATAGAAACCAGCTACTTTTGTTCATGCAGAAAATGAGAAGAAAAATGGAAACAAAAAATGAAAAATGTTGCTTGAGTTAATTCTCGCGTTTTCAACTACTGTATGTTGGTTGCGTGTAGCATATGAAGTGGCTAATGGGGATGGGGCGTGGGTGGATGCCAATGGAATGTCAGGCAGAGACCACACCTTCACTGCTCTCCTGCCCTCCACCTGCTACGACTTGAACGTCAGGACCAGAGGTTAGATCTCTATTATTATAAAAGCTGCAGTCGTGTTTATCCTAGTGGCATTGTGAGTTTGGTTATTTCTATTGCGGCTATACATTTCTTATTTATTCATCGTCGTTATGAGAACATACTATGCCCAGTCAATGCAAGCCGGTCAAAAATGTTCTGAACATTTATTTACCAAAGTTTTTTCAATTTTGAAATCTTGGACTAAAATAAAAAAAATATGGAAACTTCGAAACGTAATTTTGAAATAACGTGGTTAGTTTTGAAAAATACCTGATCCGTATCCTCTAAATGCAGTAGTTTTTTTAAACCATATATATGTTCAGTACCCCCCCCCCCCCCACCCCTTCATTCTGGTCGGAAAAGATTCTCCAATGGCAAATTTCATAAGGAAGCCTGGCTCTTTTTCCTTTTCTCTCACTACGCAAATTCTTTCTAGAAAGTTTTTTGGTCACCTTCGTTGTCCGATGGTTATAAAACTGTATCGCGAACTAATTAAGTCATAACAAACATATTTAGTCTTCATACTCAACATTGAAAAATATTTTTTTAACCCATAAAGAAGCCTTGGGCGCAATATGAAAAATTCAATGGGAGTTCGATCGGCTTGAAAAACAAAAATATGTTTGTTTTCATTGTAGTGGACTGTGACAATGACGCGCTAGCACCCAACGTGCCTGAGTACTCGACCCCTGTGCAGGTTCAAATGTGTACACAGCCCAGTCCCTGTCAAATCAGCTCGGTTAGTTGTTTGACTTGCAGTCCGGCTAGTTTTTGTAAATGTAAATTTAATTGCATAGCTAAGTGAAAATGCAAGCATCGTATTTACACTAGCGCTTGCGTGCGTAGTGTATTAGTACGAACTATTTTTTCAACACAAATAAAAGTGTTCATTAAAAATAATCACTTATTTGATGGCACTTTTGCTATAATCACAAATTATAGCATTGGAAATTGCATAGCCTCTGTCCTCTGCTTTCTTTGTGGCTAGTGTTGGTGAGTTTTTAAGCGTCTGTTGTTAGTGCATGAAATTTATAGTTTCTATACAGTGCTGATTTAAATTAACCGGACAAAACGAGCTAAACTTGAAGTTTAAAACGCGTTTTTCTCTAATTGGGTTGAGTTTAGGTGAAAACTTAAAAGACAAAAATTGTTTAAAATTTTAGCAGAATTAATATGGTGTAATTTGTTTTGTGAAATTCGGGTCCGAAGTTTTACCCCAAAAATGGGTCATTTTGACTTTTCTTAGTTAATCAAAAATTACGCCAAAAAATCCAGTCGATCACAGACATAATTATATCAAAGTGAGCCCCTTACGTAGCCTCACAAACTTTACAAGGGTATTTTCTCCAAAAAAATTGCATATTGTTTAAAAATTGTTTTCAAATAAAAAGTTGGTACTTTATATAGTAAAAATGACCTTTTTTGTCCATCAAACAAAAATAAATTAACTTAAACAATATTTTGGAGATTATACCCTTCTTAAAGTTTGTTGGGCTACGTAAGGGGCTCACTTTGATATAAATATGTCTGTGATCGACTGAGTGTTTTTGGCGTAAATTTTGATAAACTAAGAAAAGCCAAAATGACCCATTTTTGGGTTAAAACTTCGGACCCGAATTTCGTAAAACAAATTACACCATATTACTTCTGCTAAAATTTAAAGCAAGTTTCGTCTTCATCAGTTTTCACTTAAACTCAACCCAATTTGAGAAAAACGCGTTTTAAATTTCAAGTTTAACACGTTTTGTCCGGTTAATTTAAATCAGCACTGTATTGCATATTGAATCTAAGACGTAGTCTAATTTTTACTAATTCGAGACTTTTCTTCTCTTTTTTCCTAATCCATTTTTTAGAGCTGCTTTTTGTCGTGTTCATGCTAGTGCTTGCGAAGTACAGCTTGGCCTCTGCCAGTATATTTATTATTTGATTTAAAAAAAAATTGATTTTAAATTGGAACATCATCATTTTTCAGAGACGACTGCCGAAATCAATTTTAAAATGGTAAAATGACTTAATTTTATGATACACATATAAATGGAGATCATCGTATAAATACACGTTTAACGCTTTTCGGAAATCATACTTGTTAAACATTTTAAGGAAGCAATAGCTGTTGAAAGTTTTTCGATTGGCGCGTGCTTTTCAATAAAACTGCTTACTAGATTTTTGTTCCGACTTTCGATACGAAGGTAACGGAATATTTGTGCTCGGGGTGGGTTTTTTTTCTTCAGACAAATTTCGACTTTTTAACTAGCCATTTTTGACGGATTTTTTTTTATCATTCGAAAGGTATTGTTGTCCTGAGCTCAAATTTGAAAAGATATTTCACCTGTGATCATTTTTCGTAAAGTTACGGGGGTTTAAAGATTGCCATTTTGGCCAATTTGGGACAATTAACGCGCGATATATTTCGCGCTATTAACGCGTAAGCGGAGAGTTAATCCGTCTTAGAAATTGTTCCAAATTGGTTAAAAGAAGCTTATTTGCCATAATTGGTTTGTTACAAGGAGCGAAATCTATCCTTTTGTACTTTTACTTTATATGGCGTGTGGGGGGATGAGTTTCAATAAAAAAATTCACATTTAAAAAAAAAATTCTTTTGTTATATTTTTTTGAATATCTTAATGTTTTTACTGCTCCATAAACCTTAAAAGGCAGTCGGAACATTCAGGGCTTTGCCCTGATACGAGCAGTCTTGTTTGATTTTGCATTCAATGTGAGAATTATAATCAAAAAGCTATAAATTGTTTTGAAGATCAAGTCAAAAGCGTTTTTTTGAGATGACTGCCGAAATTGTTTTAATCATACGGATGCTTCGATCTTATTTCGAAAGCAAAGCATAGTAATCAAAGTTAACCGATTTGTCAATAATAACTGAATCCTCGCATTTATTGCTTACTTACCAAATTGTCAACAATATTTAAGCCACGAAACAGAATGGTATTATTTTTCGATAAAAAAAAGGTTCATGTTCCGTGAGATTTTTTATTCAATGATAAAGTGGGTTGAACAAACAGATAGTTTTGTAGCTTTTCTGGTTCAATCCAGTTGAAATTGAATAACTCCAAGGTTAACTGTTTTTTGATCGATATTGGAGGTCTGGTTTATGCAGCAAAAAAAAAACGTAAGACATCAAGAGAATATTTTGAGAAGCGAAGGAATTAAGAAACAATTTGTTCAGATTTTACGGAGAACCGCTGTTGTTCCCTTTTAATAAAAACATATGCAATTTATTTTGCCGGACTGAAAAAGAATTGATCACGCTGGATTTGAACTATCGATCTGTCGTCTGAGAGGGGCAGACGTATTAGCCACTTCGACCTCTGTAATTAGTGTTTTTTAATATCTTCAACTTAAGATATCCAAAATATCAAAAAGGAGGAGTTTCGTTACTGAATACACTTTTTGCATATGCATAATCGTTGAACTGTTTCTTGATTGGGGTGGGTCATGTTTCGAATATGTCGCCACAGAAGGAAGAAATAGTAAAAGAGATCTGTTTTTTTATGTGTGAATGTGTGTAACAGGTGGCAGCTGTAGATGTGTCGACTGCTGACTACTCGACTAAGATGGAGATCGAGATCACCACCCTGGCCGCCCATCAGTACAAGCTCTACAGGGAACATATCCAAGTGGCTTCCGGTCTGCCCAGCACCGACCCCTACTATGTAGACAGCCAACTCCTGTCCGGCTCCGCATTCTGCTACAGCTGCTCCGCAAAACTCAATGGTCAGTCTGATTGGCTCTTACAACGCCCCTCCCTCCCTACGCATCATATTAGCCACCCCCCGCCTAGTAACAAAAAATTGTCTTCAAGTGTCTCAATCCATCTTTCAAGCAGCGGATCGCAAACTATTCATCTCCAATGTGTCATAAGGGATATGCAAAAGTTACAGTACATGAAATACAAACAAAATCTGAAACCAGAGACTTGTGGTTGTGGTGTAGACCTCTTTAGTGTTTGACAAGATATTGCACTAAAAACCGGTTAAAATTTTTTGCAGACATTGAGGGAGAGCGGGGCCCAGAGGTTTGTGGATGCAGTCGGCCAGCACCCCCGTACCAACTGGAATCGGAGGCACTATCCCCCTCTCGGGTCAGAATCACCTGGACTGCTCCGGACGCCCACGATATCAGCATCTGGTTCGAAGTGAAGGACTCCCAAGAGAACACAGGTACTACTATTACATCAAAGTAAGAAACGTTTTAGAAAAAGCCAGTTAAAAACACATTAGAAAAGCCGAGTTGTAATTCAGAACTACTAATGAAATTTGTGTTAACAACTGGGATTGCTTTAATGATCAGTGGAGGTGCCGGTCAATGAGTTTCTGGAATGGCCCAATGCTCTGGAAGAGGGCAACATGTACATATTCAGTGTGAGGACAGTACTCAACTGCAGTGTGGCAGCCGGGGTGGAGTTGACCTCAGACTGGGTGGACGTGAATGCGTACACTTCACCAGGCATGCCAATCATTGAACAGGTGAACAAAGCTGTCTTCATTTTTTTTTCTGTATTTAGCTCGAAAGCACTCCTGTTATAGACTCATCGTAAACCTAAAATATGTAGAGATGTCAAATTTTGAATTTTCTACAATCAAATCTGTAGAAATGTGATGTTGAGTTGCCAAATATGATAAAGTGAAGTTTTCGAGGCTTTTTAAAACCTCAAACATTCCGCCCTGATCTCTGCGTATTAATTGGGATGCGCTTATTGTTCTCAGATAGTTTTCAATCCTGTGTATTTGTTTTCTTCTCCCAGGTGGACTATGGCACAGACTTCATCACAGTCGATGTGGTGGCAAGCGGAGGTTACGACTCAATTCGGTCAGTATACAGATTCTTACCATGAGATACCCACGTGGAAAATACGAACATTCGAGCTGTTCTCTTTTTGGCGAAAAATAGACTATTGTGGTGCGACCCGTTTTTTGAATGTCAATCAATGTAGTGAATTATTTAAATAGGTCTGGATGATTTTTTTCCCGTTTTTTCCAGGAAAGTCTGAAAATTTGATCACGAAAATTTGAGCATTTGCTGAAAGGAATGTGCTCACCGAAAGGAAATGGCACAAAAAAACTTGAATTCGTTTAGACTCGAAAGTGAATGTTGATTTTTAGATTTAGTAACATTCCTATTGATCAAGTGTTCTTTCATTGTGCTGTTTCATATTAACATTTTCATCTTAAAACATTCTTGAAACTCAGTGAGCTTCATCATCATATCTTTTTTCTTCGAAATTATGCAGAAGTTACATCTTGATTAAGCACGGAGTAAGGGTCATCATAAGCTTAAAATTACATTTATTGACTGTTAAGTTAACATTGTAGCTGCCGTAGTTCAGACTCTTATATAGGTCGTGATATTTTTTTTTTGAAGAAAAGTCTTGAAACTTGTTCAGACTCAAGTTTATTATTTCTCTGCCGTTCGAAATTTGATTTCTTTTTAAGTTCAGTTCATTTTGTATTAAGGAAGAAAACTCTACAGCCGACTAGCAAAAATGTAAAGATCTCAAAAAACGTGATTGATTTTAGTTTCGAGGCGGATTTTTTTTCAGATTTCCCAGCAGTAGAAGACAGTTTTCTGAAATTGAATTTATTAGAAAATTGTGAATCAGAAATTTCATGAAAGTCAAAGCTTCAAGGCTTTTAACTTTCACTATGAAACTGGAAAGTCATTTTTTTCTCTTTACTTGCGTTTATTCACTCGTTTCCAACTGTTTATTGGTCAAGATTCAGTTTTTTAAAGTTTGTCTGGGACCTCGCCCTCAAGCAACAAGCCCAGATCATGGTGAATATCGTACTTTTAACCTTTCGATTAAGAAGCAGAAATTTAGCCAATTAAGCACCCCGCTTTTTGAATTCTCTATCGCATGAATGCTCACGAGACCCCTTGTTTTTTGTTTGCATTTAGCCTTTCTTTTGCTTTTCTTAGTTGTATGGCACAGACTTCATCACAGAGCTTCAAGGCTAGTTAATTTTTCACGCCAAATTTCCAAACTGGAAGTTTTTTCCGAAGAAACATGCTAGTTTTTTTGTTTCTTTGCGTTCATTGACTCTTTTTCAAATGGCTATGTCCGTAACCAATCGTGACACTTTGATTGACAGTTTTCAACATATATTTTTTTAATCAATAACAGCTGAAAGGTTGAAGGTTGCATGGCTGAGTAGTTAGTGTATGAGACTCCTAACCTGTAGGATGAAGGATTGAATCTCAGAGGTAGACGATTTTTTTTTACTAATTCGAGGCATAATTCTAATGTTATTTAGTGCACTTTATAGAGCTGCTTTTTGTCGTGTTCTCGCTTTGCTAGTGTTTGCGAAATGCAGCTTCGCATCTGCGTTCACATTATTTTATAACAATTGATTTTTTTCAGGAAAAGTCATACAATTTGTCCACGCTCAAATTTGTTTTTTTTGTGGTCTTTTTTTTATTGCTATTCAAGTTCAGCTCGTTTCCATTTTCAAAAGGGAGGCAAACTCTACTATCGAACAGCAACAGGTTAACGTTCACGAAAAACGTGACTGAATTTTTGTTTCGAAATTGGAATCCAATTTTCAGATTTCCTAGCGGAATTAAAAAATACGTATTGGTCCAGTTTTTTCGATAATTTTTGTCAAGAAAATGTGTTCTTAAATTGTTCTGAAACGTGATCAACTTTTAAGGAGATATAATTTTTATTCGAAATTCGAAAGTAAGTATGAAAATAAGTTCATTGACATTTTCCAAGTTTCTTTCTATCGGCCTTAATTGAAATGTGCAGATCTCTTCGAAGAAGTTTGAAAAATAATCAGTTGTTTTTTTGGTTTAGTTCAATTCACTATGTGCGACTATCTGTAGGCTATGTTGAATTGATCTTTATCGTTTAGACTGTTTCTAAACGAGGACGAATACATGCCAGGCAGTGACCTCACTTTTCCCCTGGTTGTGGATGGTCTGGTGCCAGGAACCTCCTACTCATTCTTCGTGACTGCATTCAAAGGCGGAATATTCAACACGAGCGAAACAATTGTCTGGTGCACAAGTGAGTTATTGCCTGCCGAGGGAGTCAGTCATGCGGGAAGGACGGAATGCGCAAAAAATATATCAGCTAATCAAAATTCAGCATTCATAACTTCCAAGGGAAAAAGCTATAACATCAGTCAGTTTTGGACTGTTTAACGTTATTGATTGGTTGCGAATTTTCGCGCATTCGGTCCTTCGCATGAAAATAGCCTTGATTAGTTGTCTGCGGGCCAATCTAATCGACCAAACTCCCAGGTTGAGTTAATTACAAGCTCATTTCTCAAGTATCCGCCAGTAATTTAAAAAAGAGCAAAACAAAATGTGCAAAAATGGAACAACTGTTCGATGCATTCATGTTTGAAGTCCATTACAACTATACTCAAAGGTTTTGATTGCATGTTTTTTTACACGAAAAAGTATGAAATTACTAATTAGCCAAGTTGCGTGCGTTCATACGCAGTTCATGAAAATATCAGTTCGTGAATTTTGTTGCATGGACAAATCTACATAATCTGCAGCGCGCGTTCAATCGGCGTAAAAAATTTACATGCACGCTCGCAAGTGAGCTTTAGAGGTTTGAAAACATGTTTTTAAGTGCAAGACGACTGCTCGTATCAGAGCGACGCCCTGAATGTTCCGACTACCTTTTAAGGTCTATGGAGCTTAATAATAGCATGAAAAATTTAAATGTAATAATATAAAATCAAGTTTTTCAAAAATGAGATTTGTTTGTAAAAAAAATCCCCCCACACGCCATATTAAGTACAAAGTGATAGATATTGCTCGTATTAACAATTCAATTACGGCATATAAGCTTCCTTGAACTAATTTGGAACGATTTTTAAGACGGATTAATTCTCCGCTCACTCGTTAATAGCGCGATATATGTCGCGCGTTAATTGTCCCAAATTGGCCAAAATGGCAATCTTTAAACCCCCATAACCTAACAAAAAATGATCACAAGTGAAACATCTTTTCAAAATTTAAGCTCAGGACATCAATAGTTTTCGAATGATATAAAAATATTCCGTCAAAAATGGCTGGTTAAAAAGTCGAAATTTGTCTGAAGAAAAAAAACCACCTCGAGCACAATTATTCCGTTACTTTCGTTTCGACAGTCGGAACAAAAGCAACTGTTTTAGCATGTCAAAAACAAGCTTGAAAACTAAGTTTCTTTGACTACGCGTTTTTGCAACTGTTTGTGAAATTCATTCACAATCTTCGGGCCTAGTGGCCCTCTGATAGTGAACTAATTCCCTCGTGCGTGAAAAAACGGTTGCGAAACTACTACTTCAATATTGACTATTTTTCGCAGCTTGACTTTGATTTCTTTTTGTTCCGACTTTCGATACGAAAGTAACGAAATATTTGTGCTCGTGGTTTTTTTTTCTTCAGACAAATTTCGACTTCTTAATTAGCTATTTTTGAAAAAAAAATTTTATATCATTCGAAAGCTATTGTTGTCCTGAGCTTAAATTTGAAAAGATATTTCACTTTTGATTTTTTTTCGTAAAGTTATGGGGGTTTAAAGATTGCCATTTTGGCCAATTTGGGACAATTAACGCGCGATATAATTTGCGCTATTAATGCGTAAGCGGAGATTTAATCCGTCTTAGAAATTGTTCCAAATTGGTTGAAAGAAGCTTATTGCCATAATTGATCTAAAGAATTGGGTCGATCGATCGAATGAATGAAAAAAATTTTGTCTCTCGTAAATTAGCTATTTGTTAATTATATCTGGACATTCAGCTATTTACCACTATGACCAATCTCAAACCATTTTGTTCCAGATCCTGAAGTACCTACAAATCTGGACACGAAAACCAGATTTTTCTACGGGTTCCTGGTCGAGTTCGATTCGCCTCTGATTGGGGACAAAACTGGGTGAGTGTAATCAATCTGTTTTTTTTTACCACCAAATTTTTTGGAAATCAGAAGAATTATCTTGTTCCCACTTTTTGTTCCCACTTCCGAGGAAAGTGACGGAATATTTATGTTCAAGGTGGTTCGTTACTTAGATCAATTTAATTTCGACTTTTCTTTAACCCGTTTTAAATGCATTTTCTAAACCATCTGAAAGATATAGATGTACTGAGTGCAGGGGCGGATTTAGGGGGGGGGGGGGGGGGCGGACGCTTTTCCTTCTGAGTGATTCGACCCCTTGCGACCCAAATGGTCTTCCCTTTGTACTATTTTGAAATACCTATTTTGGGCGACGGACCCATGAGTTTTTTTTTCTGAGAAATTCAAAGTTTGAGGTTTTCTAACTGTCAGTTGGCTATGCTATTATTTTGGTAAAAGAAAAGCAAATTAAGCTCTCCTTTAATAGAAGTAAAAATGGCGCAGAAAAATACGTGAATATTTTTAAAAACTATTTTACTTTTCATTCTTTCCGAAGGCATACATTTTTTTTTATTTATGACCCAATTTTCTCAAACTTATGAGAACGTTCTTGCAGTTCAGTACGAGGCCAAACGCTGTTTTTTTTTGTAAATTATAAGCGAACTCCGCTTATTAAACACCTCTTTGATCCAACTTTGACCTGGTTACCTGGTTACCGTTGAGTAGGTTTGAAGACTCGTCTCTGGATTCCAGTGATCTACACACAACAAACATTGCGCCTGTTTAATGCACAGTTTGGCCTCGTAACGCCTCCCTCCCCCTCAGGGAGTCGACCCCATGCCTAGCCAAAGGGTACCCCCTTTGTACTATTTTGAGATATCCATCTTTGGTGACGGACCCTAAATTTTTTCTAAAGGCGCCTTTGGCGCCAATATATAGTTACTTTGAGGGGGGAGCGCACGCCAAAAAAAAACCCCGATTTTTTATTCAAAAGTTTCCAAAAAGTGACCAAAAACGGCGTTTTTGACCAGTTTTTTAAAAAATTTGCCTGCGGCGCAGAAAATTTGGTCAAAACATAGTCTTTTTGTGCTTTAGGAGAGCTAGCTCGGAAAATCAATTTGGTCGACCTAAAAAAAAGGTCGTCAAAATTTTTGAAATTTTTTTGAAAATACGCCCCCCCCCCCCTTCGAGAAAATCCTAGATCCGCCCCTGACTGGATCTAAGAGTGTTCCTATTTTTAAAGAAAATCACAAAATATAATTTTGTTTTCTCTCGGGGATTGTTTACTAATTTTGAAATAAACTTACTGGAGCTTGAAAAATTCCACTTTGCAATAATAAATGGGCGATTTGTATCTTTTTTCCTGTAATTGGTTAGTCAGTGATTTAATGCGCCTCAGAATTTTTACTAATTTGATTTGAAGCAAACTAATGGTCCAGTCAATACGTTACTGGCGCAACGCGCAACATGCATGTCTTTGTCTTTAGCAGTGCATGAGAATGGATAAGCTTTAACAGAAATGAGAAAAATTCTATACTTCATTTTTCGAAAACAGAAAACTATACTTTTTACTGCGAAAGGGTCGCTGGATGGATCAAAGGCTTCGTTTTGATACACAAGCATTGCAGTCCTATAGTTTTTTTCTCTAGGTGTTCAAATTCGATTCTGGTTGGGGTCGTTGAGTTTTGGTTGGAAATTTGACGATAGACAATTCAGCGGACGATTAAACAGACCTAACAATTTTTTGGGGAAAAATCGGAAGAAAACGGACAAAAAGTTGGCTTGGGCAAGGAACGAAACATTTGCTCTGTTGCCATCTGCTGCGATTAAATCTGGTGCGAATAGTGTAATGCGCATGAATTAGTGTTTGCAGCTAATTCAGTTTTGCAATTTTCTTTCTTCTCGTTTTGTCTCAGCTTTTCTTTTTGTCTTTTAAACCCAGTGACGTACTGACGTAATTTTCGGCAGCGCGGAGAAGCATGGTAGACTCCAGGGTTTAGGGGGGGGGAGTAGAAGAAAACACCCCTCCCTTCTCAGCGATTCGACGCCCAACAAAACTAGGGATCCCCCTTTGTTATTATTTCTGACATCCATTTTCCGCCGACCAACTCTAAAATTTTATCGCAAGGCGCCTTTGGCGCCAATATAAGCTAATTTAGAAAAGGAAGCGCGCGCCGAAAAAACGCACTTTTTTGATAAAAATTTTCCAAAAAGTGCCCAAAAACGTAGTTTTTGACCTGTTTTTTCAAAAAAGTGCCTGCTGTGCCTCGATAAAGTTCGCCCCCGCCCTGGAGAAAATCCTAGATCCGCCCTTGGCCGACTCAATTAATCTGATTTTTTACAAAGTAAATAACTTTGTTCTTTTTAAGAGTGAAGACTCTTATATAGGTCTTGCTGATTTTTTTTCAGGAAAAAGTCAGGAAAAAATATTGATGAACTTAGTGTTAATGCACTTTTTGAGTTCAATTGAACTTCGTCCGCTGAAAGTGACGTAAATAGCACTCTCCAAATACGAACGTGGAAATCGCGCGAAAAAACATGAACGATTTCTAGTTCGAAAGTGGAACTTATCTTTTTTGATTCCAGCGGAATAAAAACTTTACCTGTTGATCCAGTTTTCTCTAGTTGAGTTAATGTTACCAAAAAGCGCCATAAATTTTATCATAAATTGTTCTAGAAATTCAAAGAGCTGAAAGGGCATCTATTTTTTCGAAGTTCGAAAGTTGAGATTTTTGCAACAAAGTCAGTGTGTTTTTTTATGTTAACTTGCGTTCATTGTTCCGACTTTCGATACGAAAGTAACGGAATATTTGTGCTCGGGGTGGGTTTTTTTTCTTCAGACAAATTTCGACTTTTTAACTAGCCATTTTTGACGAAATTTTTTATATCATTCGAAAGGTATTGTTGTCCTGAGCTTAAATTTGAAAAGATATTTCACCTGTGATCATTTTTTGTAAAGTTACGGGGGTTTAAAGATTGCCATTTTGACCAATTTGGGACAATCAATGCGCGAATTATTTCGCGCTATTAACGCGTAAGCGGAGAGTTAATCCGTCTTAGAAATCGTTCCAAATTGGTTGAAAGAAACTTATTCGCCCTAATTGATTTGTTACAAGGAGCGAAATCTATCATTTTGTACTTTATATGGCGTGTTGGGGGATGATTTTCAGTAAAAAAATTTCACATTTTAGAAAAAAAAAATTTTTCTTATGTTTTAATTCATTAAATTTTTTAATGTTATTACTGCTCCATAAACCTTAAAAGGCAGTCGGAACATTCAGGGCTTTGCCCTGATACGAGCAGTCTTGTTACTCTTTTGCAATCTTCGATTGGCTATGTTAGTAATTCTATAACTGCATGCAATTGTTAAATTTTACGTCGCACTCTACTTGACTTGGATAAAGTCATAAGCGTTGTTTTAATTCTGAAAATAAGAGTTTTTTGCTGTTATGCGGTTTAAAAATAGATTAACCTTGCTTAGAATAGCTTCCTTTCATCTTTCTTTAGTTCAACCAATCACCAATACGTTTTTTTGTATAATTTTTTTTTCCGAAACGAATAACATCAGATCTGAGTTGTAGAACAGTTAAATACCATACCAAACCCCGTATAAAAGTTTGTTCTAATTTGAAATAGAACAGCATCAAAAAGATAATTATTGGGAGTTTTGTTTTCAGATATGAGGTTTGGTCTGACGTCGATTCCATCTGGTAAGTTGATTGCGTATAACTCACCTTATCTACTAACGTATTGCTGATTATGTCTTATAATCAACTAACTCATCAAGAGCAAACCCAATATCATTTTATAAGACGAAGAATCAGAAGAACTTTTTTTGATTACTGGACAACTCCAATCACCCAAATGAGGGGGAAAGGGTTGTGTCTGAGAGTTTTTTTGAGCAAATTCACGTACCTAAAAGAAGCTGTTGCAATATCAAGTGTAATTTTGTATTGAAGCCACCTCAGTTCTGATGCTGAGAAAAACTGGTGCGAATCATTTTGTTTTATCAATAAATTTCTCGGGTTGATTTGAAAATCCCAGCGAGCAAAAAAAAACTGATTGATCCAGTGTTCTCCATTTATTAAAAAAACGTCTATCGACAAAAAAAATTCGAAGCAGAAAGCTTCCTTGTTAGTTTTGGTTGTTAAAATGCTTCAAAAACTCAATTTTTTTCGTCTTTGAGTTTTTTAACATTTTCTCGATTTTCAGTTTACACACGCAAACTTGCTAACGTCGCATCGTTTAACAATTCGTATTAATGCTCCGATCTAACTCGCAAACAAAATTCGTCATTTTGGTGACACATTTGTTGCATAGTATTGGCAGTTTATGTACTCGTAGTCTCCGTTTTATTAGTGGCTAGTGTTTGTTTTCTGTAAGCTCCAGTGGTACCGGTCTGAACGGCAGTCAAATTTAGTACTTGGGTGTCGGAGGATTGAGGTTCGAATCCCGCTGTTTTTCAAAACTAATACATTTTATTTCTAGCCTTTTTTCTGTTTTGACTTTTCTTCAAGCTATCTTTTGATGTTTTGTTTCGGTTTGAGAAGAACAGCTTCGCCTCCGCCTCTAATTTGATTTAACAGCATGAAAAATGTTTTTTTTAAGTTTGATTAAAACCATCTAATTATTTAGCTTCTCTACGCTAGCCAGCTTGCGAGCGTAGAGTATTATTAGTACGAACCTTCTTTTTTCAACCTAAGTAAAAGTTTACTAGTAAAAATGTTCTAATAATATGTGGAAATTTTGCTATAATCATGATTTTCAGCGTAGGAAATTTCAAAGCATTTGTTCTCTGCATTATTTGTGGCTAGTGTTTGTGAATTATTTAGCGTCAGTGGCAGAGTGTTTAGTACGTGAGACTCTAAGTCGCAGGTGATATCCGAGACGTAGCCGAATTTTTACCAATTCGAGGCTTATTTATACTTTCTCTTGTTGCACCTTGTAGAGCTGCTTTTTAGTCGTGTTCGGTAGTGTTTACGAAGCGCAGCTTAGCTTCTGTGTATAATTTCTTTTTTTAAAGAATTTTTGTCAAGCAACTGCTGTTCTAAAACAGTCAGTTGTTTTCATTACGCAAGTGGAGCGGATTGTAAAACTACGAAACAATTTAATAGCATCTGTTGCTACCTTAATGTTAGCTAAAAGAGTCGATGAACGTTGCTCTGTCTTTTATATAGGCATTGGTATTTTTGCTTTTTTTCAAGAAAAAATAAGTCTCAAATTTGTTCATGCTCATTTTTTAGTTCTCGTTGTTTGAAATTTGATGTTATCAAGTTCACTTCATCCTTTGATAAAATGAAGGCAAACCCCATTTTTGACAACAAAGTTTTAGTAGTCGTCAAGTTTTAAAATTGTTTTCAAAATTGCGACTTCAAGTTTCGAAAGTGGAGTTTTATTTTCAGATTTCCCAATGGAACAAAAAATTCACCTGCCATTGATCAAGTTTTTCGAAGTTAATTTATCTTTTTTGCCAAAAAAAGGTCAATCATTTTTTTTTGAAATTCAAAGAGTTTTAAGGCCATATGTTTTCTGATTTGAAATCGAAATTTTGCAATTTTATCTCAAAGAACGAATTAGGTTTTTTTCTTTCCTCGCGATCATTGACTCTTTTTCAAATGTATGTTGGATATGAGTCATTGGTGGCCCTTTTTCTGTACCGCATTTGCAGTTTTTAAGAGTCAATGATCGTCGAATTTTATTAGATTTTTTTGCTGTCTTTCGCTTGTGTTTTTTTGGCGTTTGACCTCTCATTTATTCTTAAGTTCAGTTCATTAATCTTAGGAGAATGGAAGACACATCACGCTCTCTAATAACAAAAATGCAAACGTCGCAAAAGTAGATAGGAATAGATTACAGTTTCAAAGCAAAAAATTTTTGGATCAGAATGAACCAAAATTTTCATTGAACAAAAAATTACTTTTTGAACCAGTTTTGTTTCGAGTTGGTCTGTAAATTGGAAATTTCAGCCGATGAGATTCGACCTTTTTACACTAACCAAATAGCAGCTTTAAGCCGAATCAAACGTGGAGGAAGTGTATTATAGCATTCAAGGCTGCTAGCACTGCAATTTATGCCATTAGTTTATTTTAAAGAAACGATAAAAAGAGTTCAGACTCTTGTCTAGGTCGTGATTACTATTTTTGTTTTCTTCTAGGTAAAAGTCTGAAAAAAAATTTGCGGTTTGATTTTATATTTATTTTCAAGTGCAGTTAGTTTTCTCAGTTGGAAGGAAGGCAAACTCAGCTGTCGAATAGCAAAAGTATAGAAGTCACCGACTTCTACTTTCGAAAGTAAAACTTATTTTTCAGCAAAATAAAAAAATAATTCACTGGTTCAGTTTTCTCAAAAAACGTTAAATTTATCAAAAAATCGCCAAACAAAAAATTTTCTAGTACAATGCTTTGAGGCCAATGATTTTTTTTGTTGAAAGTCAAAAATTGAAATTTTTTCAATGACAGACGTCAGCATTTTTTTCCCATTTACTTTCATTGACTTTTTTCCAACTGTCTGTTGGCTATGCTTTAAACCAGGAAATCATTTAATATTTTTGACGGAGAGAAAGGTCAAAAGTTTCCTTTTTTTTGAAATGAGAGATTAATGAAACCGATTGTTTCAAAATTTGCTTCGCGAACAAAACTTTAACACGCAGAAAAGTTTAGAATTCTAACGAGAGGAAAGGAACAAGTTCAGGGTGATCGATTATCATTTTCTTCTTTTCTTGTTTTTGCAAAACTTAAGGAGCCAAACTTTTAGATAATGAGAGGAAAAATTTTTTGAAACATATTTTTTTTATTCGATCTTTTGAAAAGAAGAAGGATCGGAAGAAAAGTTCAAAAGGAGCTGAAATTGTTCTCATAAAAAAAATTTTTGAGCTCAATAGCTATGAAAATGGGTTTATGATTTTTTTTTTGGTTTTTCAATGTCCATGAATGCAGTGAAAACAGTTTTTTAAATTGTTTTTACTTTTATAGGGTAAACAGTGGTACTAACCGAAATGTTCACGCTTAAAAATGATTTTATCGCTGTAGACTTTTGAGCGCTCTTTATAGTCAATTTATTTTCATTTGCAAATTATGCTCTCCAATAACTCAAGTTTAATTGGCGCAAAAAAAACTAAAAGACATAATCAAAATCTACTTTATTTGTCTTACAAAATAGAAATACTTTCCCTTAAAATTGAAATAGTTTCCTACAAAATAGAAATACTTGGTAGTAACCAAGTCTTACCTCAGTTTTATAAATTAGTACTTTTTAATTGAACAATATTCCTTATAAATACTTATTGAAATTATTGAGTGTCAACCTGGGTTTTAAAAATCATAAAAAAACCAAGTCAATGACAGTCAATCTTTTTTCAGTTTTCCGGGTTTTGTTTCCTATGATCTGTGGTATTTTAGATTTGGAGTAATAGTTAGCTGTGAGAAATATCTAAAAATTGTTTAGAAACGTTAAAAATTATTTTCGGTTTAGAAGTTTTGAAAAAGTTTCAGTTAATAAACGGTAGACACTTCTTTAGGTCGTGTGGTTGTCAATTTTTTTACCGATTTGATTATAGTTTTTTTGTCATTTGATTCACTTATACCTTGAAAAAAATTACGACCTATAATAAAAAAAATGCAATTGGGTGAAGAAAACAGGAAAAAACGAATTTGTCCTGTTTTCTCAAATTAGGTAATTAATGAAAAAAAAAAGAAATTATCATGAAATATTTAATCATGTTCTTGAAACTGAAAGAGATTCAAGGTGATATTTTGATTCTTTGAAACAAAAAATAACTTGTTTTCAGAAAACTTCGAGCGCTTTTTTCGCTTAACTTTTTTTAGTTTTACGAATTCCTTCTTGAAAAAAAAAGAATGAAACTTCATAATGAGCCAGTTAACGAACAAATTTTGAGTGTTTCGAAATTAACTGATTTGAACAAGCAGAAAGGTAATAAACAAGTCGACGTTCGTAAGGAAAAGTCTTGAATCATTTGTTATGTTTTTTTTCAAAAAAACTTGAAAATTTATCATGCTTAAACTTGATTGTTCGCGGCCTGACTTTTAAGTTCCTGTTATTTTTTTAAGTTTGCTTAAAGCAAGGCAAACTCCTCTTTCGAACATCATAATTGTAAAAGTGACGGAAAGCGATTTCATTTTTCAGATGTCCCAGAGAAATAAAAAGTTTACCTATTGATCCGTTTCTCTCAAATTGGTTTAGGTTTATCAAAATGTCAAGGAAGCTTTGAGGCTATATATTTTGTTACTTTTGAATTGAAATTTTTTTTTTCAAAAACTTTCTGCTGGTCATGTTTTAGAACTCCAAGTGAGTTGATTCTATCAAAAAAAAATTGTTCGTGAGTTTTCTTAAATTCGAACAGCTGTGAAGTCAATTTTTTTCCCTTAAAATTGGATGTTATTATTTTGAGTTTCATTGTTTGAAAAATAGTTCTTTGTTTGTTCGAATGGATTCCAATTGTTTTTTCACTTGAGAAAAGTGACTTGTAATCGTGACTTTTAATCGTGCTAAGAGCGAGTGACCTGTAATCGTGAACCAGACTTTTATTTTTCGTTTACAAATTTTCTTCCAATTTGTGCCGATACGCTCGTTTCTTACTTGCTCAAAGGCTTCTAAACTCAATTTCTTGAAAATTTAAATAAAAATTACTCGTTAGTTCATGTGGGGTAAAAAAATATATTTTTTTCATAATTATTGAAAAAATAATGTTTTTCGGAATTATCGTTTTCGTCCAAATTTCTGTCGCCTGATTTTTTATTGTTTTTCTAATGCATTTTTTTCCGGTTAGCCTTTCAAGTGCCTTTTTCAAAGCTAGGATTTTTAAATTTATGGTTTGAACAAGTTTTACTAAAATTGATAGTTTCTCTGTAGTTTGTAAATTTACCAACTCTGATTTTTAATATATCTATAACTTTCTTGTTTTTTTTTGTTAAACGTGTTCGGCCTATTCATTATAACCTTCTCTTCAACTTATGTTGCGCAGTTTCAACGACGAATTGTATAAATTTTTTCGCCTGTTTCAGGAGGGAGGGCTTTCAAAAATGTTATAGCTTGAAGATTTTTTATGTCTACAGTTTCGTTTTCGGGATCTGCCCAAGTTTTTTCGCCCTAGGTGCTGCTTGGATTTTCATTCTCTTTCAATTTTTGAAAAGAAAAATACTTTCTTCTTTTTGTATGCAACAGGCGCGGTTCGAGGAATTTCTCGAGCGTGGCGGGGTGGGTTTTAAAAAAAATGAAAAGAGCAAATTGATTTTCTGAGCTATAAAGACCCTAATTTTACCAAATTTTCTGCGCAGCAGGCAGATTTTTGAAAAAAGGCCAAAAAAAGGCGCGTCACGCGCTCCCCCATCAAAATTAGTATAGGTTGGCGCCAAAGGCGCGCTTAGAAAAATTTTAAGGTCGCTCAGCCAAAAATGGATATCTCTAGATAGTACAAAGGGGGACCCTTTGGGTCGGCAGGGGATCGAATCCCTGAGGAGATGCGTCCAACCAACCACCCCACCCCCCCTAAATCCGTTACTGGTATGCAATATCTTGTTATGCAATGCTTTAATTGTATCGAAATTCAACCTAAGTTCCGTAGCTTCACAAATAAATTGTATTCATGCCTTTGCCTGTTTTAGGAAGGTAGGGTTGAGATATTTTTACTTAGAAAATTTTTATAGCTAGAATTTTTTATGTCTACTTTTGTTTTCGGCCTAACTTGGCTCAACCCAAATTTTTTTTTGCCGCTTGATCATTGATTTTATTTGCTTTCCAAGGTTGTTTATGAAGATTGTTTGAGACAAAGTCATGCTATTTTCGTAGATCGAGTTTTTTTGACTTTTTAAAAAATATTTTTCAATTAAATTTTTTGAAAAAAAAGACTTTCTTTTTTTCTATTCAATATCTTGTAATGCATTATTTTAAGTGTAAAGCTAGTCAACTAACTTGCCCTTTTTAGGAGCGAATGTTTTAGAATGCTTTTGCTTGTTCCAGGAGGGATGGGTCGTAAAAACTTTACATTAAAATATTTTATAGCTAGACTTTTTTTATTTCTAGTTTTGTTTCTGGCTTAATGAGGGTCGACCTAAGTTTTTTTCGAAAATTTGCATAACTTAGTTCGCGCTCCGTTATTGATTTTCAATTCTATTTAAAGCTAGTTTTTAAGAGTCGATGAACGCAGTTCATCGAATAGGTCGCGATAATTTTTTTTGCTTTTTTTTCAGGGAAGTCATCAAACTTGTTCAGTCTCACGTTTACTTTTCCATGTTTTAACTTTTGCTTTTTCAAATTAACTTGAGGTTTTTCCAAAAAAAAGCAAATGTTTGACTTTAATGTTTTTCAAGTTTTGTGCATTTTGCTTATTAAAAAGAAGGCAAAATCCTCTATCGAACAGCAAAAGTGTAAAGGTTACGAAAGTTGTGTTTGACTTCTAATTTACAAAATGGAATTTAATTATCAGATTTCCCAAAGAAATGAATAGGTTACCTATTGATCTAATTTTCTCAAATTGGTTGAATCTTATTAGAAAAAGGTCGAACAGCAAAACTGTAGCAGCAAATTTGCAATAGCTCTACTATCGAACAGCAAAAACGAAATGTCTAGAAAAATGCGATTGACTTCTAATTTCGAAAATGAAGTTTAACCATCAGATTTCATAGTGAAGTAAAAATTTACCCATTGATCTAGTTTTCTCAAATTAGTTGAGTTCTATCAAAAACTCTTCAATCATATATTGTTTCATGAAACTCAAAGAGTTTTAATTCCATTATTCTTTTTTCGAAATTTGAAAGTTGATTTTTTGAAAAAGTAAATCAAAATTTTTTTCTGTTTACTTGCGTTCATTGGCTCTTTTTCAATTTTCTGTGGGCTATGTTGAAGGCTTCTAACGAATATAATCCGAGACAAAGGTGTAAACGTTTTTCAGACAGATTTTTTGGACTTTTTTCAAATTATTTTTTCAGCTTAACTTTTTATTTCAGCTAAACTTCCTTCTTTTTTTGAAATTTTTTGTAATGAACTTTTTTTAGTCGTATTGCAAGTGTTGAAAGTCTGTGTGAAAACTGATTTACAATTGATTGCTTCGCATCTATGTAAAAACTGATGCGAAATTGATTGTTGAAAGTCTTTGAAATAATGACCAAGAGATTTCTCAAGGAGGCCACTTAGTTTTGTTTCTACATTTCCTGATACTTAAAAGTCGAGATGAGTTTTAAAATGTTTTCATGCTCACAATATTTTTTTCCTTGCCGAGCTCGTAGTTTTTCCTCCTGTTAAATAGAAAAAATGTACGGTTTTTTCTTGAAAAAAAACCTAATGACTGTTCACGCACAAGTTTGATACTTCGCCGTTTAACTTTGATTTTTTTAAGTTCAATTCAAAATAATTTGGCAAATTACGATCTCCAGTTTAGAAAAAATAAATGATTCAAAAAAAATGTGAGTAACTTTTAGTCCCAGTGGAAGAGAAAAATTACTCAATTTTCCAGTTTTCTATAATTGGGCTAATTTTATGAAAATTGTGTTGATCCTTAAATATTTTTCTCTTCGACCTTATTAAGTTTCAAACAATTCAAATATATACTTTTGTTTTTGACCACTTTTATGGGTCAGCTTAAGCGGTTTTTTCAGTGGATCTTTTAGAAGCTAATTCAACATCAGAATTTAAAACTATAATTCCTGCAAGTTTTTTAGTGGATCACTGAATAAAAAAGCTCAACTAAAGGTTAATTCGATGACATTTTTCTTGCAAACGTTAGTTTCGGAACGACGTTCATACAATCTGGGTGAGCGTTTGATGAAACAGATTTGAGAGCCACTGTTCAAAAAATATCAACTGTGTGAGGCGCTTTTCTTAATTTATTTAGATAGAGCCTGATTCTTTAAAAAGTGGGTTTGATGATAAAATCAACAAAAACTAGATTAGATCTCAGTTTTATTGCTCTATATTAAAGATTTTCAGACAGATATTATGACTCCGAGTAATTTAAATACAACATTGTCCGCTATACGACAACAGCTATATAATTGTTTTTTTTTTTAAATGTTATTTGTTTTTCAGGCATCCTACAAATTCGAGCATGAACACATTCGCTGAGCAGTTTTACTTCATCAACTTCGACATCACAACAGATTTCTCTAGATTTACTGTGAGTGAAGTGTGTGTACAACTTACCCCGCCTGTAGCCTATGCGTTGTACCTTTTTGCATCTGTGTAACTGTGCATCTTCTTTTTTTTCAACAGAAGCAGATACACTTGTGATGGCAAGTTTTCATTATTATGGGCAATTCTCTTTTTTCTGCTTAATTATATTTGTCTACAATTAGGAAACGTATTTTAACTCGTGATTTTGATATAACTTTGTTTTTTCTGCGTCTATTAAAAGTGATAATATCTAGTGCAGTCTGTTGCAGCGCAAATGTAAATGTGCGAGAGTATAAATGCATATAAAAGTAAATACATACAGGGACAGTAGCCAAGCGTATACATGGTGCGTCCCGGCGGGTTCGGCGCCGGTTCGAATCCCGACTAGGTCATTTCCTTTCTAGAACTCGAATGTGCACCGAACTTGATGGGATGCTCCGTAACCAGGTTCGGTCCCCCCAAAACCCATTTTAACCGTCTTTTCGCTCTAATTTGGTTCAGCCTTGGTTATGGCTGACCTTTAAAAAGAGCAATTTGTCTCAAGGACAAATACTGGCCATTTTTGCAGCTTGCTTTGAGTTATGCAGTTTATTGTGGCCGATGTTACCGATGATAAAGTTTGTTAAAATTATCGTTATATTTTCAAATTTCCGTTATATTTCCGGAGTTATTTTGCCGAGAAAATACTCATTAATTAAAGTGTTTAAAAACCGTTTTTTTTATAATCTTGGAGATTGACGCGCACATTTTGGCGCCCCACAAGGGACAGAAGTCTTTTCTCACGAAGTCGACACAAGGGACAGAAGTCTTTTCTCACGAAGTCGACACAAGGGACAGAAGTCTTTTCTCACGAAGTCGACACAAGGGACATTGCTTCAGGTTTCAGTCAGAAATTCAACAGTCTTGTGTTTATTATTCCTGAAAAATTGATCCAAGAAGAAAGTAATCGAATTAAATCGTTGCAAATCAGATGACAATCAGTTCAGTTACGTAACTATTTTGGATGAGCCTGATAAAATTCAAGCTAAAGTTAGAAAAGCAGTTACAGGTTCGAACCCACGACTCGGAATCTAGACCGGGTGTGTCGAATCTTATCAACATTTTAGCGTCTCTGAAAAATCAATCTATTATTGACTCGCTGAAAGAAATCGAGTCTATGAATACGCTGCTACTGAAAAATCTGGTGTCAGATACCATTGTAGACCATTTGAGTCCCATTCGAAAGTTAGCATAGCGTACCCAGTTGGCCGACAGACGACTTAGCAGACGGACGAAAAAGCAGACTGACTAGCGGAAGAGAGGCCTGTTCAGGTGTCCTGATTGCTGACTTTTGGTCAAAGTGGAGCTGTGTTTTTCTCGACACCCGAAGTTTTTGGATTTTACCCGGTGACGCCAATCTCCAAAACCGTCAAAAACTGTAAGACTCATCTAGTTTTTTATAATTTTTCTTTTGTGCAATAAAATTACATACGGTGTCTGATTGTGTATCCCAACTCAAAGCAAGCTACAAGTGGTAATTTTTTCTCGATACCAAAAATTTTTGGGTAATTGTGAATGGATTGAAAGTCCAGAAAAACGGAACATAGACAAAAGGTACTGGACTAGTTTTTTGGATTGGTTTGCGACTCGAACCTGCTGACCAAAATTTTCCGAAAAATTTTGGGAAAAAAGTAAGAAATTTCCAAAAAATCGTCAAAACGTCCCCATAATTCTACGAAACTGTGCTGTAACATGACACCAACCTTATGGTAAGTGGTCTGGTAGCGAAATATCAGGCAAATTAAGTTGAGTTTTTTCATCCTCAGGTTTTTTCCGCGTGTGTTGTTGGAACTTAACCGATTTGCCTGATTCTCCAACCCCATTGGTAAACTTAAGGTTTACAACGACTTGATACCTGTTTGCATCCGTTCGCTTTTCAAAACATTCGTTTCGCAACGACTGACTAAGTGGTCCGGGACGGTAAAATTAAGCAAGTTAAGTTGTTGTCTTTCATCCTCAGGTTTGCTCCGCGTGTGTTGTTGGTTTTCAACCGACTTGCTTAATTCCCAAACCTCTTGGTAATTCGTCGAGCTACTAGCCGATTAGTAGTGACGCACCGTCGTACGATCGTTCAACAAATTTCGTACGCCGTAACATCATCCTAAGTGGTCAGGGAGGTGATATTAAGTAAGTTAAGTTGGTTTTATTCATCCTCAGGTTTACTCCGTGTGTGTTGTTTGATATCAACCGACTTACTTAATCCCCAGCCCCATTGGTAACTTTACTCACCGAAAACCGTTCCGAATCGCCCCGCAAACGCCCGATAACCGTTAAGTATAGTTTGAGTTAAGTATAGACCCTAGAGCCATGGATGAGAACTTTCAGAAGAGGGTTCAAAAGTTATTTGCGAAGCGAACCAAACTTGAAAATGAACTGTACAAGTGCCATGAAATTATAATTGAGAACATTGAAAGTCAGAGTCGCTCATCAAAGATTGACACTCAGATTCAGAATTGCAAGAGCCTGATAGAGACTGCAGTTGAAATAAATGAGGAATTGATTAAGTTAGCTTCTAAAAGTGTTGATCCTGATAAATTGATACCAGCGCAGGATATGTGGCTTCATACGGTTACATCAAGAAACGATAGAGTTTTACAGAAGGCTGCATCATATAAAGCTGGCTTAAACGTTGAACCTGAGGAAACAGAGCTTGACAATGTTGCAGAATCGTTAAGTACGATCGTAACAACACAACCACAAGACTCACATGAAGCAGATGCGCGCTCTAAGGTGTCGCGGTACAGTAGTCGACATCATAAATCAGGTTCGCATAAATCCAGTCGCTATACCGTCGCGCAGTCAAAAACATCAACTGAGAAGAGGCGAGATTTGTTGGTTTTGAAGAAGCAGCAGGAGGAACTTGAGAGACAAGCAAAGGTGTCATTGAAGTTGAAAGCGCAGCAAAATAAAATAAAAGAACAGCAAGGTAATTTAGAGTTGGAAGAACTAGCTGAGGTACACCGCAAGAAACTGGCTGAAATTGAGTTAAAGGAATTCGAGTTGGAAGAAGAGCTTTCTGCAGCAAGTGAGAAGATAGGAAATGCTAGCGTAACACATGTTGACCCACAACGTACTGAACAATGGGTAGAAAACGTTGTCACTGAGCAAGAGCAGGCCGAAGTTGTTGCAAGCGCAGAGCAAAGTCATCCAGTAGTCGAGAGTTCCACTTTGATTGCTACTGATGTTTTGCAAGGGGTTGGTGCCGTCGTCAGCGGGGGTGCCGTCGTCAACGCTGGTCAAACCACATACAGTGAACCGGGAGGCCACAATAGGAATCGAATTCAGGCTCAGAGATCAAGTTTGGTCCAATCGCGTCTGTCATTGCACTCAATCGAGAACCCATCTAGTTTACCACAGTTCGTTGCCTCCAGCTCAAACTTTGTTACTCCACACTTAGCGTCAACACCTCATGCTGAAGTTTCGCAAAATCACAATCTGATACCACAAGCAGGTGGTAGCATTCCCGCTTCAATGCCCTTTGGTAATCCCACCATTAATGTGGCACCGCCTTCTGTGTCGACCGTTACTAATCCAGTTTCGCTTCCGGCGAGTCAACCTTTTGTTTCTCCATTAACCGTTCCGATTCCCATTTCGCTTCCGATTATTCAACCATTTGTCCCGTCAACCGTTCCTATTCCCTCTTTGCTTCCGGTCAGTCAGCCACATTCCGGCCCCGTTTCAACTGGGTATCAGGCGCCTGCAGCGCCATCCCATCAACCTATAAATGTTCCAAACAACCCAACAAGTTTCTCAAGTGAACACTATAACCCGTATAGCAGTTTGTGGAGACCTGCCGCGACTGCGCAAACGATGCCAGTTCCTCAATACTGTGCACCGCCCTCAAACGTTTTCTCAGTGACAACTCCTGTTGTTCCACCAAACACCGTAGTTCCTTATACAAGTTTTGGGACTGTGTATTACACCCAGCCGCAAACTCATCCAGTTGTTGAAACAGCGCATCAAGGTTATCCACCTACATATCCTGCGCCCACTACGGGCCCGTCTTACGTGCCTAATAGCGACGAACAACCCATCTCGGCGAGAGAGTTAGCAGATATCATTCTGCATAGCCGCAAAGACCGTCTACCAGAGTTGAAATTGGAAGTGTTTGATGGAGAACCACTTAACTGGTATGAATGGTTCGGGCAGTTCCAAGCAACAGTTGATTCGGCTATGCTAACTGATGATGAAAAACTCAAATATCTGAAAACACACGTTAAAGACAAAGCCAAGAGTGCAATTGCGGAATACGGCTACAGTGGAGTGTTGTATAAGGATGCTCTAGCAACTCTCCAGAGAAAGTTTGGGCAACCTCATGTTGTAGTTGGTGCACATTTGGATAAGTTGAAGAATTTTCCCGCATTGAAGATGCACAACTCTGACCATGTTATAAGTTTTTCTGCGGTGATTTCTGGGCTCGTAGCTGTTTTTAGGTCTTTGTCGTTCAATGACGACTTGAAAAGTGTGAACCTATTAAATCAAGCCGTCAGTAAGCTTCCTCCAAATCTAAAAGAGGCATGGTCCATGCATACTGTTAGACAACATTGGCAGCGATTAACATTGCTAGACTTCAACGATTGGCTTAAGAATAAGGCAGAAGGCCATGAGCGATTGAAATCTTTAGTCAAAGTCGAGCAGCCAGTTAAACAAAAAGTAATTACAAAAGTGCTTGCAGGTAACACTAAGGTAAGTTCTAAGGATGAGAAAAGTAGAGAAAAGACGAGGTTTCCTCCATGCTCGCTATGCAAAGGGCAGCATGCACTCTGGAACTGTTCCGTGTTCAAAGAGAAAAACGCAACACAAAGGGCTAAATATGTAGCAGAACAAAAGCTCTGTTTTTCTTGTTTACAAGGCAACCATACCTTCCGAAAGTGCCAAAAGGCAAGAAAATGCCCAAAACAGGACTGTGAGAGCACTCACAATGTGCTTCTTCATGGAGCCGAGAAAGTTTTCCCGCCCAAAGAG